GTTTGATAGACAACCAGCATCAAAAGAAGAGTCCTTTCATGCAGTGCCAAGTTCTTCCTTTAATGCAACTTTTACCAACATACAAAGTCTCTTTATTAAGGTAACAACATTTACTCATGTGCATCTAAACCCCAACAGTAGTATTCAGTTAAGGTGTGTCTCTAGCACTTATCTTGTAGGTGGAAACTGGGATGATATGATTCTTCAGAAAATAGGAAGTGATGGACAAAAACAAAATTCTTCCACTAGACACATTAGTAAAATGATTATTCTAAAGAATGTGGATAATTGTTAAAATTCATCACTTATTTCACTATTTGTTTTTTGCTAACACCCGAAATCCTTTATTTTCTTATTCCTTGCATTGTTATTAGATTAGGAGTAGCTAGATGAATAAAAACTAAGTGTTGAAAAAATAGACAAATAAAAGAGTGAAACAAAGCAAGATAGAAATATTTATTTTATCAGGAACATTTTTTGTGTAAAGAAAATTTCAAGGAATGTTCCTAAGAATCTCCATAAAGAATGAAGGAAAAGTTGAACTTACTCTTCTCACCTGAGTGTGTTAATTGTATGTTAATATAAGGATATGAATGATTTTCTAGTTCATCATTACAGATATTTATGTGTTTAGAGTACAATTATCAGCATACAAACCTTCAGATCTGTTCTTTACTTGGTGCTTAAAAATTTAAAGTGAAACATGTCTGTATTTTTAACATTTCAATCCAGAATTTGTATTATTTTTCACACCTTTTCTGCTTTTTATGTACAAGATGGATTCCTTCAATATAATAATAAAAAAAAAGCAACATTATTAGACTGAAGAAATTCTACCTCAGAACAAAACACATCACTAACATCATCTCCATTTTCCCATTCACTTATCTTTTTATACATATATTTTATCATTTCACCCCAAGGAAGGCAATAAAGCCACTAGGATGTAAAAGGTTATGGAGTGTTAGAAGAAAAAAAACTACTATTAAGGAGAGAAGACAATAAAAGATTAAGAATTAAGAAGACAGAAGATAATGATTGATATTGTATTTAAATTTTTGAGGATTAAACTTGACTGGGAAACAAGAAGCCAGAAGAGAGTCCCACAAATGAGAAGCGTGATAGAAGAAACTGTTAGCATAGAACTTACTGTTACATCTGGCAGCCATTTCAATGCAGTCAATCTAGTACTGAACTTAAATTCATAAAGTCTAGGTACCATAGAGGAAAGTTCATCAGAATAATTACCATGAAAGTATTTAAAGAAAAGGAAAAAAAAGTACAGGGAAGCTACATTACAGCAGTAGAAAAGGGACTAAAGCTGAGATGCCAGGTCAAGATCAATAACATTAGAGATTCTTGATAAAATCCAAAGAATCTAAAAATATATAGCAGGAGCACCAGACCAGACATGGCAGCAATATCCAAAGCAAGGACAAGTGATAGACTTATAAATATGTAAGTGTAGTATCTGCATTCTGGTTATGCCTCGCACACACTCTGCCAAGGGATCAGCTTAGTATTTGTGCACTCTGTCAAACTTAATATTTGCAAGTTCTATTTATCATGCTATTCAAGCAACAGAGTTCTAGTGTTGTTGATAACTCACTTGCCTGCTTACCTCCAGGTTAGACACTTGAATCAGGGCAAGATACATTTGTTCATTTTATATATCTGCTTACATTAATATGACAGAACATACAAAGAAACAAAAGCAACATACAGAGAAAAAAAAATGATCTCGATGTTCATTATTAATATATATGAAAAATACATAGAAGTCAAGCCTAATAAAAAGCAAACAAAAAAAGTAGAAAGTTCAGATAATCAAAAAGGCTATTGCATTTCAGTAACATTTGTTCATTCACTTTTGCTAATTGTTAAATAGTAATTTCTGTGCAAGTTATCTCATATGTGAAATATTCAGGGATAAATGTCTTCGTTCATCAAAAAAATAATTTAAGCACTTTTAGGAACTATCAGTTACAAATGCTTCAAAATTTTAATTTTCAAAAGAATTTTAAGAACACATACTAGAGAAATTAAAAGTGTGTGTGTGTGTGTGTGTGTGTGTGTGTGTGTGTGTGTGTGTGTGTGTGTGTGTGTGTGTGTGTGTGTGTGCTGCAGCTCAAATATGGATTGAAACCTGACAGAAAACAAAAAAAAACAATGAAAACATATCAATCACTTTAATAAAGTTTTGTCAGAAATTGAGAGAATATAGACAAAAAGACAGAACTTTGTTATTTGCAATTCAGTTTGGATCAATTATCATTGGTCAGTCATGTATCATGTACATTAAAACCGTAGATAATTCTATATGTATGTAAGTTTGTAAAGATTCTCATATGTCTAATTAGGCATCGGATGGTATTTGTAATTGTGCATGTATGTCTGCCAAGGAGGAGTTCTAAACACAAGAGAAGTTCTAATGTCTTTGCCTTTGTGTTGTCAACCAGTACAGTAGGGTTTCATTCCCCTTTTATCTGGATCTCTTCTTTTTTAGGCATGTATTCTTTGTATTAGATAGATATAAGTTAGATTCTTTAAAAATGGATTCAAAGAAGTATGGCAATATAATGTTTTAGACATGTGTTTATAGTTGGTAATAATGTTATTAATCTTTCAAACTACATCAATAGTTACAGTCTAATGAAGAATGCATTTATTTTACAAAATATATATTTTTTTGAACAACTCTCTGCTTTGTCAATGTACTTAACCGAATGTTTCTCCATTAATAATAAGCATAATGAAAGATTGAGATAATAAACAATGTAAATTAAAAATAACAATTTCAGATTTAAAATTATATATATATATATATATATAAACTCAACACCACTGCTGTAGCCTGGTACTGAAAGTGGTTCAACACTTCACAGACACCTCTTCTGAGTAAGACCCCTGTCCCCACATAGAGGAGAACATGGCTAAGGAGTGCGTGTGCCATCCAATGCAGCTGTAGTAAGAAATATAAAGGAGAAACAGGCTGCCCCCTTAAGGTAAGACTGCAAGAATATCGTAAAGCAGTAACACAAGAGGAAATAGAAAAATCAGGCATAGCTGACCACATAGGGAGGGAAAAGAGAGATCACCAACCCCTGTGGGATGAGGTAGAACATCACTGGAAAATATGAAAACTTAAGGAATCAGCACATATACTAGGCCGCAAAAATCTCCTGAGCCGACCAAGCATAGAAATGAATATAGGAACCAGTGATCAGGAGTGCTAGAGAAAAGTAATGAACAACAACAAAAAAATTGGAATATAAGCTCTGGTAAAAAATATGCAGTAATAATAACAGAAAAATTGCAATATGAGCACTGATGGCCGAGACATTAGGTTTATTAGTCCCAGAAATTCATACACAGATGTCCTCAAGGACAAATAGCCCATTGAGTTGTGAGTTCAATACCAGACTACAGCAGTGGTGAACCAAAAACTTGGAGAGTTAAGTTAAAGGGAAACAACTGAGACATCTGGAAGAGGCATGGCACATGGAACTAAAACAATCTACCCTGGTGGATAAAATAAAGAGTTTGGTTCAAAATTCCAATCACCTGAAGAAGGCTGAAGCATAAAATGGCCAAAACATTGTGATTATGGCAATGAAGATGAGAATGTGAATCATGTAAATGAATATATATATATATATATATATATATATATATATATATATATATATATATATATAAAAACTAGGCCAATTAATGAAATTTAAGGATTAAAAAAACAAAATGATAATATTGTCAAATAAGATTGATGATATTTATTTTATATTAGCCTTTTGACTAAATTGAAGCCCGAAGAAAAAGATTTTAAAGTTGGAATTTTCAGACACACTGGTGTCCTTTTTCAATGAAAAAAAGGAATAAATATAGAAGTGGGACTTATTCTCCTGAAGAATGTTGTTGCTGGTTAGAGGGCTCCCTGTAAAAACGATATTCTCCGAGTGCTTTTTGTGTCTTCTTTTAACAGCTAGCAGGAAAGATGCAAATCCGAGTTAAAATATATTTTCAAAATAAAATCATACATTAAAGAATTCAAAAGGTATTTGGATTTGCTCAGAAAGTATTCTGGCTTTAAAATCTTTCTCTTCATGCTTTAATTTAGCCAAAAGGCTTATCAGTCTTATTGCCAAGAGGAGGTATGGTGGAGTAATGGATAGTGGCTCGGACTGAAGAATCAGAGATCAGAGTTTGAATTCCAGTCGAATCCATTACATTCACTTATGTGCTTGGGAAAGGTAGAAATCCTCATCTTCTCTCCTCAGCTATGGGTAAATACTAGGGCAGTCTGGGTTCTATAGCCTTGGATGGCAACTGGTCTACCACAGAAAGAAATGGCAACCTTCTGCGGGAAAAAAATTTGCCTCATCAGTCATGTATTGAAAGATACATGATCGCCTAATCATGTATCACGCATGGCACACCAACTTATTGCCAATACTGTAATCATTTTGTCTCTTTATTCCTCAAATTTCATTAATTGGCCTATTAAATCTACATATTATAAGAAGCACACGTAGACCATCTTTCATTATATATATATATATGTGTGTGTGTGTGTGTGTGTGAAATATGTGTGCTGTAATAAAAGGTTTTTCGTCATGTTTTTTTCTTTTATTATATCCTTATATGAAGCAAGCAAATAACTGAATTTCAAGATGTGAATTAGATGAAAACAGTTTTATTCTACAAAAGAGCAGAACTAAAATAAAAAGCATTCCATAATACTCATCACTATAGTAAAACATTTCTAAGAACTATAACTAATATATATTTATTATAACTAATATGTGTGTGTATATATATATATATATTTTATTCCTTGGAGGAAAGCATTTTGGGCCATCCATTCTTTAAGAAAAATGAAAGTAAAAAAAAACTATTTGCTAAATGATACTGGTGCTATGAAGCTGATAAGAGACAAGCCAAGAGGGAAGCTAATTTATCTGAAGGCAGGAAAAACTAAGACAAAAAAAAAATCCACTTACCTTTTGGAAATATCCTCTGCGGACAGATTTATCTTTGGTTTGTCTGAAGTATACATAACCATAATAATATGCATAATCACACTGGAAGAATAGAAAAAGAAAGTTTTCATTACATTATTATTCATTATTTTAACAATGAGGGAAAACAATCTGACAGTTATTTTATCTTTACTGAAAATGCCTGTCGGATTGAAGCAGATCATAGCAGGCATTAAACTAGAGACAATTATTATTGAAAATTGTACATCTTATAGGAATAAAAGAAATGTACATCTTATAGGAATAAAAGAAATGTACATCTTATAGGAATAAAAGAAATGTACATCTTATAGGAATAAAAGAAATGTACATCTTATAGGAATAAAAGAAATGTACATCTTATAGGAATAAAAGAAATGTACATCTTATAGGAATAAAAGAAATGTACATCTTATAGGAATAAAAGAAATGTACATCTTATAGGAATAAAAGAAATGTACATCTTATAGGAATAAAAGAAATGTACATCTTATAGGAATAAAAGAAATGTACATCTTATAGGAATAAAAGAAATGTACATCTTATAGGAATAAAAGAAATGTACATCTTATAGGAATAAAAATACTGTGGGAATAAAATGGAAGTTCAAGCTAACACTATGACCAAGAAGGTGGATGAAAGATTCTGTCTGGGTTCAGGTTTCTTAAAATGGCCACTAGCTTTCACATAAAGCAGAAATAAAATTTGTAGTAAATCTTAAACCTTTTCACTAGACATGCATGTATTTATAACCCTATCAACAGGGGTAACCCCTTTCCAGTTTTTTTGAAAAAAAAAAAAAAAAAAAACCTTAGATCATGTGTGCTTGGAATCTGAAGAGGATATTTTTTTCTTTTACTTTGGTCTGAGCTCAGGCTAGGACACTAAAATTAGCAGTATAACAAATAAATAATAAGTAAAATAAATTGACCTAAATTCATCCAAATAAATAAAACTAATCCCGATAAACTGTTAGAAAAAACAAATAAAGATAATCAATCCAAATAAATACATGAAGTAATAAACAAATTAAAAACTGTTCCCGCCAAAATAATAGAATAAACTACAACAATCAACCCCAAAATTGAATAAATAGCTTTAATTATCTTCCCAAACCAAAACAACACTATTAAATAAGTGATATAAACAAATTTTTACTAAGTTAATAAAAACACTGATCAAAAAAAATAAAAATAAAAAAATAAAAAAAAATAAAAATAAATAAAATCAAGCAAAATAATTTAACCCAAATAAATAAATAAATGACTTCCGGTAAAATAACCGCCAAAATAGACTACCCACAATGCACCACTGACCTATATATATATATATATATATATATATAGCCGAGAAAAATAACAGGACTCATGGCCTGACGATTGCATCTAGCATGAAACAGACCGTCGCCTCTAAGTGTTGACTTCTATGTTCACTTTTATATTTACATACGCTCTATCTCTGATATTGAGCACTTTATCCCATAAATATAGCACATATTAAGACTATATATATATATATATATATATATATATAGTCTTAATATGTGCTATATATATAGAGAGAGAGATGTCTGGGTATCTTTAAAATATCTCTTCAGGATGTAGATGATTATGGCTCTCCTCTTTAAAATCTGAATTGCTACACTTCTTTATAAAGAGTGGTTTCACCATTGCCTTCTCTACAGTTCTAAATTTAAAGAAGTCCTTCTAGGCTGGCTGCTATCCAATGCTAGAGATCCCAGTCTACTGCTACTTAACCCATAGTAGGGAACTGAGAGAAGAGATAGATTCATACCTTGAATCCATCAAGAGAATACTTGAGACTATCCTAGAATTTAAACAGCTTTCTGATTCCATTTTCCATACAGATAATCTGTTAATTTACTGGCACATCCATATTAACTACTTCTGAATTTTAAAAAGAGAAAAAAAAATACTCAAAATGTAGAAGTCATTATTTCTGCAGATTTCTTTTTCATTCATTTCTCACTCTTAATGTGTGCAAAGATTTGTTGTCAGGTGACTCACTACATTCCCTATAGTCACAAATCAAAACTAGTTGAATGCAATTCTTAAAATTGCTTAAATCATCTCTTAAGAGACATGGTGCAGATAATCAGTGCATTTTTAATGAAAATGTAAAACTATTTACATTTTCAGGCTTAATTATAGAATGAATGATGAATTACACATTTTGTATGAGGAATATTTGGACAGGAATAAATTGGAAGGAATACACACTTGAATTAGACATACTAATTGCAGAAAAAAACAATGGTGATGGGGGGGGGTTAAAAAGTGCAGTACTTGCCAGCAGGCCAGCTATTTTTTTTTTCTTCTTTGATCGCCTCAAGGAAATGGATTGTGTGACTCTTTCTCAGCTGTTACATTGGGCAGTTGTGAAACAGACACCAAACTCAGCAGCGCCTACTTCAACTTCCTCTTTGTTCGTCTGTCAATTCGTACATCCAGCTCTATTGCACGCAGTCAGCCGAATGACTCCTGATTCCCTCGTGCTCCTGGCACTCTGTTTTTTATGCTGTTCTAATATGGCCGAAATTTGCATGTGTACAAATATCTCGTCTCATTTTGGACGAGATCGGTGTGCATAAATTTCATCTTCAATAGCGGTCATTTCTTTTTGTCATTACTTTGCAGGCAAGACACGTTCACACTCATTTCGAATTCTGAGGTAAGTCATGTCTTTCGTCACACTAATGATACTTGACAAGACTTATGCTTGTGAAGTCTGCTTAACCAATGAAAAACAAAAATTAAAAATGCCAGAATATTCTTTTTCTTCTCCATATTTCATTCACTGCTGAAGCTTTAATAAAAGCAGATGATGTTAGACTTATAAATATTTGTTCCTTATAATATATATGACCTGACAATTACGCTTAAGCATGAAACGGACTATCAGCTCTGGATATTTACCTCACTGTCCTCTTTTATGTTTACATAAGCCCTATCCCTGGTATCGATCACTTTAACCCATAAATATAGCATACCTTATAGATATATTATAAACTCAATGAATTACTTAATTATGATTATCTCAAATCCTCCTAATAATTTCTATCCCTTGTATATCTTTGCTTGAACTGGCTTCTAATGCTCTGGATGAAGTGGCTTGGGGATAGTAGTCGTTGCTTGTGGGGGGCACAGTTCTATAGACAAGGGAAACTCAGATGAGTTACTCCACGAAAATTGTGAAGAGTGGCGCTATATCGAGTAATTCATTACCTCTTTGTCACTGAGGCCCGTCCATACAGTTGGTATGACACTTGCATTGTACTGTAACGGTCTGGGCTCAGTTCTCGGCAGTGGATGTGCACTACTGATGTGTCCCAAATATAGGATAAAATGGTCATCCAGTGCTTTCTGCATTCTATTGAGGTTTCTTCTAGACTCGATGGATTACTTAATTATGATTATCTCAAATCCTCCTAATAATACAGCGGGAAACATACTTGATGAGCTTCAGTAAATGGCTGGTAGAACAGGGTTTAGTAGAAATAGCAAGATGACAAAACCTATTAAAAGCTACAAGGGGAAAGAAGATGTGGAGGATCATGATCGCTTACATCCTGAAGGGACACAGCACATAAAAGAATAAATTTCCTGAGAGTGCTACATTCTCCGGGCTCTATGTTCTCTCATTATGTGTCTCAAACTTACAAACGAATCATTTTAATTTTAGTATACGTTTCCCTATAGTTCTTTATCCCTAAGAGAGTGCTTCAAACCCATAACTATCAACAATTAGGGTTGACAAATGTTAACTAGGGAGGCCCGTGACTTGAGATCCTAGTGGAACTTAAAAATCAACCCAGAACACATACAATCCATCTTTAAAGGTGCTGGAAAAATGGTCACTTGTCTGTAACAATCCAGTAAGTACCTAAATCCTCTTGCTATCCTCTACCTTTACACTTGATGGGTGACTGCTTGGGAATACCAGGGGCTGTAAGCTTAGCTATATGGTGGTTCAATAGATAATGGCTTGGAATACATATATATTATATACACATACTAGCAGACTTAAAAAAAAAAAGAAGGAGTGAAGGGAGAGGGAGAGACAAACACCTGACTAAGCAGCAAATACTAGTGCTCAATGACTAGGCTTATCCAGAAAGCAAAAAACACTTTATAGTGGCAACCTTTAACAAAACAGCTCGAATCACTACTTAATTTTCATGCTCTTTAGGTGAATACAAATGGGATCTAGCATTTATACTTGAGTACCATAATATGACATATTATTGCATTTAATAACATACACAATATATATATATATATATATATATATATATATTTGACAGCTGTCACTCATATTACTAACTTGTGTGAATATGTTGCGAAAATGTATTTATAGAAGCCGTAATGCATTACCTGTAATGATATAGGGCAGTCTCTGTTGTATTGTGAATGTGAAGGAATGTGAAGTTTTCGACCTGGACATTGTCGAATTCGGAAATGAAACTGGGTGTCCCCCATACAACCTGTAATGAAACAAAAGGAAACAATCAGACAGGAATTATTATGGAAAACAAATACAAGAACTAAGTGCATGCATGCACACATACCACACACATGCACAACCAGCTATGAAGGCAATTAAAACACATTCTGACATTTGGTCATTGTCATTATGTGAAGTAGGTCAGCATCAAACTTTTCAGCACCCCTTTGTGATATTAAAAAAGAAAAACCCTTCTGCTTTCTATAGCCAGTGGGGGAGGGCCTGTAAATGTTTGTAGAAAACAATCTGAAATTTTTGTTTGCAAAAGTAAATATATGCAAAGTATGGCTTTTAACAAAACTAATACTGTAATTTAACTAAAAGCTTATATTTTTATGTCAATTCCTTAAATATATTTCTCTTCTGTAATTGCAGATGCTGCATTATGGTCTTCCACTGATCAATTGTTAGTCATTTCAGAAGCTTCATTTTCTTTACTTGTTAAGGACGTTCAAAATGTGTACAGACTGAATTTTAAAAAAAAAAAAAAAAAAAAAAAATCACAGTGTAAGGTGAGGTGAAGAAGAGGCTCAAGTACAGTGAAGTGTTTCTGAGTCAAAAACCAGCTTGAATGAGATCACCAAGTGTGCTGATACGTTGTCCTGATAAGGGATGAAACCAATTTCTTCACAGCTGTAGCCTCTTTCTAGCAAAGAGTCCAGAACCATTTTATAATAGACTTAGTTCAATGTTGTTTCATTTGGAGCCAAATTCTCTATAATTATACCCTTAATAGTGAAGAAAACAATATGGCTTTAGACTTAGATTTGTTTTGTCAAACCTTCAACCTCCCCAAAGATTGATTGCCATTTTCTTTTTGGATCATATTGAAAAATAAAAAAAATAATCCATGGCTTTTCATAAAGAGTTCACTCTTTCTAAAGACTACTGGTTTTGAGTTAAATAACAATAGGGAGGTTTAGATCCAAAATACAAATCCAAGGTAGTAATTCCAGGGATTAAAAATCAGTCTTGCAAAGACAACATCAGAAAATACAGAGGCCATAAATCAAAAGAGTGGAAAAATTCACATCTCAACAAACAACTACCTCTTCACCCATGAAGAGCTAAAAACCATCCTGTGGTCCAAAATAGAGTTTTTTTTTTTTTTTTATTGGAGGTAAGAAAAGCTGTGATTGGTTGAGACTGGTAAGGAAGTGCAAACAATTACCAAATTTTGAGGCCTACTAAAGTCTACCTGGTGTTGATTCAGATTTTCTCTTTCAACAGATAGCACAAAGAACACAAATTCTTTTCCAAGACTTGGATTTCTCCTTTGTCTGCACAGGTCCATCTTGGTTTACTCCAAAATGCCTAGAAACTTCTTTGCAGTTTTCTTTTTGATCAGTGGCCAAAAATTATTTGCACAAACCTTAACATACTCAGATTTCAATGCAAAGTTTGACCGGTCTTTATCAAGGGAGACCATTTCAACTTTAATTATCTTCAAGACCCTTTGACCTTCACAAATATCTCTAACCACTAACACATACATATAACATGTATTTCCCTAGCCTGATAAACTTCACTTAGCATAGTAAAAGATTTGTAGCCATTGTGCAATTTCACCAAATTAATGCCCTGTTTAGTTTTTGAACTTTTGTGCTGGTGAGACAGAAAAGTACTAGGAAGAGGAAAAAAGTCAAACAATTATGTCCTGACCCCAAAAAGAGGTATTGAACAAAATATCATGGGAAAATTAGCTCAGAGGGAGGTGTTGTAATGGAATATTCCACATTCCCTATTGCCTATGTGGACTGACTATATCAGTAGATATATATAGTGAGCACAGGACATACCTGGGGGTTTGCTTTGGGAATTACAAGCCTGTCACCTGATTCCCAGTCTTTGAGTAGTGTATTCTCTTTTATAATAAACCTCTCTTCTTTCATCTATATGCATGTTGCTGTTCCTTCAATAGAGTACCACCTTTTTCTGTTTGTAACCTCTTTAAGGACACAACATTAACTATTTTTATGACACACTGGACTTCAAACAATGCTTAACAGTGAACAAAACACAAATGAATTGACACTTTAAGGCGTTGTTTATGCTTGTTCATTGATCAGTGTGAATCATCATTCACACCTATATTCTGTGGTCAGATTTGTGTAAGCTCAATCTGATTTTTAATAGCCACACCTTGTGCATATATAATTGCATGCAACATACTACATCAAAGTTGAGAGAACTTAAGGTGTGAAATGACTTCCACAAAAAGAAAAACAAAATATTAAAATAGAAATTAAGGTTATTTCCATATGGAAGGATTTCAAGAGAGATGCAAAATGAGAAATCCTGCGTAAGTTAGTTGATGGGTAAACTGATCACTTGCCTCAAATTTCCTAAACTATTATGATTTCATATAATGTAAACAAATTCAAATCTTTACAGAACAATTATAATACATTGGTAGATAAACTGAAAATAAATTCTAAACAAATGTTTTAGATAACTTATGAAATGGCTTCATAGGATAAATATCTATTGACCTTTGAACTCACGTCTTTTTTTTTTTTTTTACAAGATCAATGCATAAACTTTTAAAGGTAAGAGTTGTATTAAAGATTTATATGTATAAAATCATCTATTACTAGTTCTTTTATGTGCTGTGCCCCTTGAGGATGTTGGCAGTTATGGCTCTCCACAATTTCTTGTGCTTTGTAACTCTTAATAAATTGTCTGTGTTATCACTCATAAACCCTGTTCAGCCATTCATTTACTCAAGCTTGCTAGGTAGGTTATGCATGGTTTTCCTCTTTCCCTCTTGCCTTCAGTATGAGGCATGAGTATCAAATTTTCAAAGCCCTCTTCTTCATCATGCACCCGAGAAATTTCAACTATCTCTTTCTGATAGTATGTATAAGTGTCCTTTTTGTTTCCATTTTCCCTAAAACTGTTGTTGCTTACATGTTCAGTCTATGGTATTCTGGGCATCCTCCTGTAGAACCACATTTCTGTTGTTTCTTCATCTGTGATGAGATTGTCCAGCATTCACTGCCATATAGGAAGACTAATATTACATAAGAGTTCAGTACACAATTTAACAAAATTTTCTCCATTTCTTAATACTTTGCTTAGCTTTTGGAAGGCATCTTTTGCTATCCCAGTGCACTTTCAGATTTCAGTGTTGCACTTTCCATCCTCTGTTAAAACCAGATATTTGATGTACTCGTTTGATTTTGGTATATCCAATTTGTTATTTGTATGTTGTGCCGTTCCTTTTGCTGACAACCATGCATTGTATCTTCTTGCAATTGATATTTAGTCCTTTCTTCTTGCTTTCCTTCACTACCTTCTGTAATAGTTTTAGTCTCCTTTCTGTGTCTTCTCTCAACAGTGTATCATCTGCATATTTTATGTTAAGACTGTGACCGCCAATAATGAATCCTGTTGGTAAAACTTCTAATTCTCCCAGAATCAGCCCACTGAGAAAGTCTGACTTCATACTTATTTCTAGCACCCTCTTCCATAATTAGTAATCTATAAAATACAACACAAACAACATATGGAGAGAGAAGGGAGATCACCGCCTTCTGTGGGATCAGGTTGAGATCGTAGACAAGGAACACCATTGGAAAATTCGTAAACTTAAGGAATCAGCACATATGCTAGGCCACAAAAATCTCCTGAGCCGACCAAGCATAGAAATAAATACAATATGGGAACCAGTTGCAATACAAGCTCTGGTAAAAACATGTAATGATAACAGCAAAATTGCAATATGAGCATTGGTAAAAATGGTTGCTGAAGACATTAGGTTTATAATACCAGAAATTCATACACAGATGTCCTCAAAGCACAGCGGATAAAGAGTGTGAGCTCAATACCTGGTTAAGACAGTGGAGAACCTTCAGAGGGAAAATTAACAGGAGATAACTGACATCCATTAAACATGGCACATGGAACTTAAAACGGTTTATCCCAGTGAGTGAAATAAAGGGTTCAGTTCAACATTCCAACCACCTGAAGAAGGCCGGAACATACAACGGCTGAAACGTTGTAATAAATATGGCGACAAAGATGAGGACAGTAGTCCGAATAATGTAAATGATCTATGAATGAAAATAGAAAAAAAAACAAATGATGTTAACTCAAAGCAGGTCTAACTATTCAAAATAATTTGAAGTAATCTTTAGAGATTGTGTCTATGAAGCCATATTGTCTTATAAATCAAGACATTTTAACAATGAGAACTGAATGTAACTGGAGCAAGTATGATTTTGTCAAATCTATAGCTTACTTTTGGACGTTAAATTTGTTACACATCAAATATTGGAAAATGTGTTATTTAACTAGAGTTTATATAATGGCTGTAGCAATCCTTAACACTTTAATTTTCTACCTGTTTATAAGTTAGAATGTAAACTTTGTGTATGATTTTTATGGGGTTTGCAACAGTATTTTTATGTATTAATGTACAACTGGTATTTGCTCTTACTTGAAGAAGCTAACTTAAAAAAAAAAAAAAGAAAAAAAAAAGCCAAACTGTTTGGGAGTTTTTTTTTATGGATACCAATGTGTGAGAAAAAAAAATGAGACAGTGACCCAGTTAGAAGTGTTGTAAATCTTAAAATTTTCTTTCTTAAAAATTAGTTTTTATTATAAAGTGAAAAAAATTGAAAATCTGAAATAACTGAACATTTCTCTTGTTGGTTTTAAAACAAGTCTGCCGATATTTATTTTTTAAAAAAAAAAAAAAAAAAAAAAATGACTATATAAAGTAAACAATAATGTAAATAGGTCATGATATTAAACAATTTTTGTGTGTCAATATATTTCTTTAAAAAGAAGAAATAAAATCAATGAATTTTTTAAAAAAAATTTTAAAAGTATTAATCATCTAAGATCATAGGGAAAAAAAGAAAACAAATTTGAAATTGTCATGTGAATCAAAAAATATTTTAAAATTCTAAGATGCTAGAAAATGTAAAGGTCACTAAAAACTATTTCAGTACAGTAAAGGTCAAGTATTCAGTT